ATTGGGCAATTTACAAAGAACAGAGATTTGTTTCTCACAGTTCTGAAAGCTGAGAGTCCCAGGTCAAGGAGTCCACATCTAGTGAGAGCCCACTTGCTGCATCATCCATGCAGAAGAAGAAGAGGGCATGCACACGCCTGGGGCTGTGGGGGAAGGGGGCTGAGCTTAGCTTCTTATCGGGAGCCTGCCGTAACAATAACTAAACCAATCCTGAGATGGCAGCATGAATCCATGTGTGAGGGGCAGAGCCCTCATGATCTGATCACCTTTTAAAGGCCCCACCTCTCAACATTGTGTTGGGAATTAGGTTACCAACATGCCGGGCTCAATGGCTCACACCTGTAATCCCAGAGCTTTGGGAGGTGGAGGTGGGCGGATCATGAGGTCTGGAGATGGAGACCATCCTGGCTAACACAATGAAACCCCGTCTCTACTAAAAATACAAAAAATTAGTCAGGCGTGGTGGCATATGTCTGTAGTCCCAGCTACTGGGGAGGCTGAGGCAGGAGAATTGCTTGAACCCAGGAGGCAGAGGTTGCAGTGAACTGAGATTGTGCCACTGTACTCAAGCCTGGGCAACAGTACAAGACTTTGTCTCAAAAAAAAAAAAAAGTTACTGACACATGAACTTTGGGGCACACATTCAAACCATAACACATTAACAGTCGATTAATTAATTGCCTTATCACAAGGATGCCAAGACAATTCAACTGAGAGACAGAGTAGTCTTTTCAACACAGGGTGCTGGAACAGCTGGATAGCCACAGGCAGAGAATCACGTTGAACCCCTACCTCATTCCATAGACAAAACATGGATGCGGAATGTATCAAAGACCTAAATATAAGAGCGAAAACTATACAGCTCTTAGAGGAAAGTGTAGGTGTAAATCGTCAATACCCTGAAATCAGTCAGTGACTTCTTAGATATGACACCGAAAGCACAAGCAACGAGAGAGAAAATAGACAAACTGAACTTCATCAGAATTGAGTTCTCTGCTTCAGAGAACACTATCAGAATGAAAACATGACCCACAGAATGGGAACAGTATCTGTGAATCAAATATTGGTAAGGGTCTAGTATCCAGAATATATAAAGAACTCTTACAATGCAACAATAAAAAGATGACCTAATTTTTTAAAATAGGAAAGTAAATGTAATTTTCAACACAGAAAAATAAGCATAATTCTGCACAATCCACCCTCCCGTCTCCACCACTGGTCTTTCCCATTAGAGTTTCCTCTCCCTAAAAATTTTAAAAAGCAAAGCACGGAGTCATTTGGTAAATTTGGCCTTGTTAACTACTTATTCTGAAAAACAATGATCTTTCCTTAATTGAAAGGCCCACAAGTGTCACTTCGGCATTAGGCTGGTAGTTCTGTACCTTGCCTTGCCATACTTCAGGTCACCTTAGCTTACCTCCATCTCTCATGGATATTAGAAACACCGCTATTCCTTTGTGTATTAATATACAACTTTTCTATGATACGGAAAATAGGAGCACTATTTGGAGTTAATCAGAAGAGTCTTTTTCTTTTTTTTCTTTTTGTCACCAGGCTGGAGTGCAGTGGCGGGATCTCAGTTCACTGCAACCTCCGCCTCCCCGATTCAAGCGATTCTCCTGCCTCAGCCTCCCGAGTAGCTGGGACTACAGGCTGTGCCACCATGCCCAGCTAATTTTTGTTTTTTTTAGTAGAGACGGGGTTTCACCATGTTGGCCAGGATGGTCTCAATCTCTTGACCTTGTGATCCACCCGCCTCAGCCTCCCAAAGTGCTGGGATTATAGGCATGAGCCACCACGCCCAGCCAATAGTTTTTGTAGAATCTACCTGCTACTTAGTTTCAGAAAAACTGAGACCTTTGGAGGGGAAATGAGACTTTTAAAATACTGTCTTTGTCTTCTGAGAACATTTTGTCTCATTTTCTGCTGTGTCCAGTGCCTGGAACAATGCATATTTGTTGAGCAAATGAGTGAACAAACTTCTTTTCTTATAAAGGAAAATGAATGGACCCATCTTACTCTTATCACAGCCTTGCTGCATAGAAAGAAGTGACTGGAGAGTCCAGCAGGGCGTGTGTGGTTCGATCTCGGCGCTCCCCTTGATACGTGCGCACTGGAGAGGGGTTTCCCAAGCCTTTCCTCACTCATCAGCGTGGTGGTTGTGGGGCTAAATGAGACCGTATATGTATATATATTAGACAGAGTTTTGTTGTTGTCGCCCAGGCTGGAGTGTAGTGGCACGATCTTGGCTCACTGCAACCTCCGCCTCCCAATTATTCAGGAGGCCGAGGCAGGAGAATCGCTTGAACCCGGATTATCCCAAACCTGGATTATCCCAATAATCCTGTCACCATTTTCACCATTTTGGCAAGGCTGGTCTTGAACTCCTGACCTCAGGTGATCCACCCTCCTCAGTCTCCCAAAGTGCAGGGATTACAGACATGAGCCACCGCACCCGGCTGAGACCATATATATTTAAATGCCTCGAATGTATTAGATAATTTAAATGGTAGCTACTAATCATGATTAATTATAACGATATTGTTGATTTTTTCAAATGTGAGTTTTCTCGTTGTTTACTTTCAACTTATTTTAGGAGATGATTTATTAGAAATGCAGATTTGCTCTGGTGGCTTGGCTCTGTCACAGGCAAAAGTCAGTCTGGGATGCATGTCTTGTTTCTAATTACACATGAGGTGGACAGCTGAACGTGGTCCGGAGAGCGGTTTGTCACGTGTTTCCTTTTCCCGAATTCCCTGGGTGAGGGTTAAAGAGAACGGGACTGTGCACCCAGGAACACTGTGAGGGGGAGTATGGAGTGACAGAGCCTTCCTGGAGGGTAGTTTCACAATAAATATGCATGTTTAAAATGCGAGGATCTTTTGGGTGGTACTTCCGTTCTTAGGAATCTACACTATGGAAATACAAAGATGTTCATGGTGGTGCTGTTTGCTGTGGGAAAACTGGCAACTGGGTTGTAACTGGGGACAGATAAACTCACACCAGAAAACCTTGCAGTCACTCAAGAAAATGGGGTAGCTCTATAGACATTAGCACATACTTTAAACACTAGACATAGGCTGGGCACGGTGGCACATGCCTGTAATCCTAGCACTTTTGTAGGCGGCAATAGGCAGATTGATTGAGATCAGGAGTTCAAGACCAGCCTGGGCAACACGGTGAAACACTGTCTCTACAAAAAATACAAAAATCAGCCAGGTACAGGAAGGCTGAGGACTTCCAAAGGATCACTGGAGGTCAGGAGTTCAAAATTAGCTGGGTGTGGTGGCGGACACCTGTAATCCCAGCTGCTTGGGAGGCTGAGGCAGGAGAATCGCTTGAACCCAGGAGCCGGAGGTTGCAGTGAGCCAAGACTGTGCCACTACACTCCAGCCTGGGCCACAGAACAAGACTCCATCTGAAAAAAATTAGCCAGGTGTGGTGGCATGCACCCATAGTCCCGGCTACTTGGGAGGTGGAGGTGGGAGGGTTGCATGAGCCCAGGAGGACGAGGCTGCAATGAGCCGAGATTTTCTGTCTCAGAAAACCCCACAAAACTGTACATATATTTTTCCCATTTGCATGAGGAAAAAGAAACTATATATCTGAAGAGAGAGGGGTGTGTGTGTTTGATTCTTAATTTTTAATCGTGATAAAAAACCCGTAACACGAAGGCCGCCACCGCCCCGTTTCTAAGTGTGCACTTCAGCAGTGTTAAATACATCCACGTTGCTGTGCGGCGGATGTCCAGAACCTTTGCATCTTACACAACAAGCTCTGCAGCCATGAGCAATTCCCCGTTCTCTCCAAGCACCTGGCAACCACCAGTCACTTTCCGTCACTATGAATTTCACTGCTCTAGGGACCATGTGTAAGTGCAATCGTACAGCATCTGTCACTTTGTGATTGGTTTATTTCTTCTTCCTTCTTTTTTCTTTTTCTGTTTTTTTTTTTTGAGACAGCGTTTTGCTCTGTTGCCCAGGCTGGACTGAAATGGTGGCATCTCGGCTCACTGCAACCTCTGCCTCCTGCTTCAAGCAATTCTCCTGCTTCAGCCTCCTGAGTAGCTGGGATTACAGGTGCCCACCACGATGCCCGGCTAATTTTTGTATTTTTAGTGAAGACGGGGTTTCACCATGTTGGCCAAGCTGGTCTCCTGACCTCAACTGATCCACACACCTCTGCCTCCCAAAGTGCTGGGATTACAGGCGTGAGTCACCGCACCCAACCATGACTGGCTTATTTCACTTAACATAATGTCTAAAAGGTTTATCCAAGTTGTAGCGTGTTTCAGAATTTCCTGTTTTTGAAAGGCTGAACAATATTTCACTCTATGTATATACTGTGTTTTATTTATCCATTCATCCACAGGCAGCTGGGTGGTTTCCACTTTTGGCTACAGTGAATTATGCTGCAGTGAACATGGTGTGCAGATACCTCTTTGAGACCCTTCTTTCCATTCTGGGGGTGTGTGCGTGTGTTTGGTTTGGTTTGGTTTTGAGGTAGCATTTCACTCCTGTTGCCCAGGCTGGAGTGCAGTGGCGTGATCTCAGCTCACTGCCACTTCTGCCTCCCGGGTTCAAGGGGTTCCCTTCCCTCAGCCTCCCGAGTAGGGGGGATTCCAGGCGTCCACCACCACGCCGGGCTAATATTTTGTGTTTTTAGTAGAGGTGGGGTTTCCCCATGTTGGCCAGGCTGGTCTCAAACTCCCGATCTCAGGTGATCCACCCAGCTCGGTCTCTCAACGTGCTGGGATTACAGGCGTGAGCCACCACGCCTGGCCTTGTGTGTGTGTTTTGATACGCACTGGAGAAGAGCTGAAAAGACAGACAACAGCAGAACTCTGGAGAGCGGGACTGGGGTGGAGGGTGCAGGTGGCACTTTAACTTTCATTTTATACACTTTGGTTTCATTTTTTCACAATAAGCATTAGGTTCTATTTACCAGTAAGTTGTGAAATCACTAATAATTATGCATTTGGTTTGCACTGTTTTAAGTAGGCAGCCCCTTTGCCAGAAATACCTCCAGATGTTGTGAGAAGATGTAGATTGGGACTGAAGGAGGAGAACCCTTCCAAAAAAGTCTTTGAGGAATGTACTAGGTAAGTGGTTCATGCTGAGCCCTGACCGTATTATCTGTGACCAACCCCGAGGCAGACAGCTTGCAGGAGGCTCTCTGCGTAAGACAAGTTCTTAGCAGAGTGTACTTGACCCATGAACAACATGGGTATTAGGGACCCTGACGCCCCCCAGCCCTCTGCGTAGTTGAAAATCTGTGTATAATATTTGACTGCCCCAAAAGCTTGACCACTATTAGCCTACTGTTGACGTACACAGCCGATTAACACATATTTTGTATGTTATGTGTAATACATGCTATACTCTTACAACAAAGTATGCTAGAAAAAAGGAAGTGTTGTTAAGAAAATCATAAGGAAGGGAAGATATAATATCTGTTCATAAAGTGGAAGCGGGTCATCGTAAAGGTTCTTCATCCTCGTCATCTTCACATTGCGAGGGCCGAGGGGGAAGAGGAGGGGTTGGTCTTGGCATCTCAGGGGTGGCAGAGGTGGAGGAAAATTCACGCGTAAGTGGCTGTTCGCAGCTCAACCCGCGCCGTTCAAGGGTCGATTGACTTTACACGTTAAAATGATTACTTTCTCTAGAAAGAGGTGAGTGGAGGGTAGTCATTCCACGCACACACGTGGCCCACTGGAAGGGGTCCCATTGTTTAGCACCAGTATCCCAGCATCCCGGTGGTGGCCCCAGGCCCTCTCTGCTCTGCCCGTGTCTAGGAGGAAAAGATTCCAATAAAATGCTTTTTTTCAGACCTAGGTACTCAAAAAGTATCTTTTTTCTGGACCTTTCCAAGGAAAATTGCGAGGCAAAGCCCTTTGGCTAAATTCAGTTTCTTTACATATGTGGGATGGAAGAACGGTTTCTGAGGCCATCGGGCCCAAAATCTGTAGTGCTTTGTGTGTGTATGCAGACAGTCGCTTATGTCACAGGGAGGAAACTGAGGCCCAGGGAGCCATGAACAAGTTTGTTCCTTGCTCTGAGAGCAATTCAATGACATATTCATTGGGTTTTAAAAGATTGCTCTGGCTACAATTTCGAGGATGAAGAGAAGGAGGACGGGGTCCAGGAGATCAGCTGTAGAGGCTGTTGTGGATGTTCAGGTGAGACATGGTGGTGACCCGGACTAGGAAATGACAGTGATGATGGACATGAGCAAGTGGACTTTAGAGACACTTGGGGCTGGTAGCAAGGACACCTGTGCCGTCTATTGGAGGCCATGTGGAATTTGAGGCATGAGAGGTTGGACGTGGGAGTTGTCACCTCTGTCTGGGTGTGATGAAGGCTGTGGCAGTGCAGGCCAGGTCCAGGGAACGTGGGCAGAGTGAGAACTGAAGAGCAGAGCGGAAATCCACCTCCACTTTTCACACCTGCCGTCTTCCTCTCAGCCCCCACTGGGGGTCACGGTGCCTTGGCTGGACCTGCACTGGTGGAAGGAGGGGGCACGCACCAGACAGCGTGAGTGAAAGAGTGCTGTGAGATGGAGAGGAGCGGCCCAGTCCTGAAGGGAGGCAGGAGGGAGGGAGGTCTGGGGGGGTGTTCCAGGAGAATGGGCACATTTGTAGCAGCTGCAGGGAGACTGGGAGAGAGGGCCCACCTGGGAAACAGGACTGGGCGTTACATTGCCGACCACTGGTACTTGTAAAGTGCTAGGTATTCTTCCTAGGTTTCTTTTTTTAGACAGAATCTCACTCTTGTTGCCCAGGTTGGAGTGCAGTGGAGCTGTATCCGGCTCACTGCGACCTCCGCCTCCCAGGTTCAAGTGATCCTCCTGCCTCAGCCTCCCAAATCGCTGGAATTACAGGTACCTGCCACCACGCCCAGCTAATTTTTGTATTTTTAACACAGATGGGGTTTCACCATGTTGCCCAGGCTGGTCTCGAATTCCTGACCTCAGGTGATCCACCTGCCTCAGCCTCCCAAAGTGCTGGGATTACAGGCATGAGCCACCACGCCTGGCCTGTTCTTATGTATTTGTAATGCCCAAGCAGGTTTTAAAACATTAAATTAGATTTATCTTGATGTTTCCAGTGGAATACCAGACCAGAGAGGTTGAGTTCATTTTTCCAACAAATAATTTATTAAAGGCTTGTTCAGTGCTAAGCACTGTCCTAGGCACTTGGGGTATATGGGCAAACCTAACAGACAGGCTTTCTGCCTTCACGCAGCTCACATGCAGCAGGGAGTGGCGCACCTAGGCTTGTGCAGCCAGAGCACGGTGGGGCTGGGCTGGAACCCGTAACGCTTCCATGATGGGACTGCCTTTAAAGTCAAAAACAGGCCGGGCACAGTGGCTCACGCCTGTAATCCCAGCATTTTGGGAGGCCAAGGCACACAGATCGCTTGAGGCCAGGAGTTCAAGAACAGCCTGGCCAACATGGAGAAACCCCATCTCTACTAAAAAAGACAAAAATTAGTTGGGCGTGGTGATGTGTGCCTGTAATCCCAGCTACTCAGGAGGCTGAGGTAAGAGAATCGCTTGAACCTGGGAGGCGGAGCTGCAGTGAGCTGAGGTCGTACCACTGTACTCCAGCCTGGGCAACACAGGGAGACTGTCTCAAAAATAAATAATGAATAGGTAAAAATAGAGTCAACCAAGGCTTTCTCTCTCTGTGTGGCTTCCTCTTGAGGTGTGGCTGCTCTGCACACTGAGTAGCTGGGTGGTTTCGATGCTTATTCCTTTAGTGAGAAATTCAGTCACCAGTTCCACATCCCACAGATCAGTGCCATGCGTCTCACCTTTCTCCTAGCCAGGTGTGTGGCGCTGGACTAGAATCCCGCCGGCCCTCAGCCCCTCCTCTGAAGTGGATCAGAGCAAATGCAGAGTAAATATTTTAAACCCGAGTCATTTTTTACCTACTCTTGCTGGATATTCACATTAATGGTAGTCTAGTGTTTGTGAACTGAACTTCTCTGCAAAGCGATATTGTCTCTGGCTGGGCGCCATGACTCACGCCTGTAATACCAGCGCTTTGGGAGGCCAAGGCAGAAGGACTGGGTGAGCTCAGGAGTTCAAGACCAGCCTGAGCAACATGGCAAAACCCTGTCTCTACAAAAAATATAAAAATTAGCCAGGCACAGTGGGGCACACCTGTAGTCCCAGCTATTCAGAAGACTGGGGTGGGAGGATCAGTTGAGCCTGGGAGGTCAAGGCTGCAGTGACTGTGATCTCACCACTACCCTCCTGCCTGGGTGACAAACAGAAAGGACATGTTGGCTCCAAGGCTCCATCTGATTGCTTCCCTGGTATGGCAGACAGGGCAGGCATGGGCTTTGCTCTCTGGTACTGGTCCAGGACATTGTGGTAAGAATCAGATTTCTTCCTGTCTTCATCTGGGATGTCACAGAAGCCAGGAAGGGCCAATCTTTCAGTCCACACTTTGGTTCTTCACATCCCTCTCCTGAGCACGCACATGCCCTAAACTTTCCTGTGCATGTGTACTAAGAGACATGCAATAGTAATCACACGACAACAGTGAGACCAGGCTCGGTGGCTCACACCTGTAGTCCCAGCGCTTTGGGAGGCTGAGGTGGGAGAATTGCTTGAGGCCGGGAGTTCAAGGCTGCAGTGAGCCATGATTGCATCGCTGCACTCAGCCCGGGCAACAGAGCGAGGCCCTGTCTCTAAGCAACAACAACAAAATATAACAAAACAATAATAAACGCTCTGGACATACTAATGCATTTACCCACTCACAGTAATGCTGTGCAATAGGCATGGTTATTATCTCTATTTTACAGAAGGAGAGACTGAGCCCATAGAGGTTGGGTAAGTGGCTCAGGACCCCAGCCAGTGAGTGGCTGAAGCAGGACTTGCAGCGGCCCATGCCTTTGGCCTCTGTGCTGTCCTTCAGGGACCCTTCCACTGTGTGTTGCACATGGGGAGCGTGCTGCTCGCTCCCAAGAAGGGAATGCATCCTTCTGTTTCACTGCTCTTTTCATTCATTATATTTCACTTCTGTTTTCACTGATAGCATTAGATCCTATGTGGACTTCTGTAATTGCCAATTCAAAATATTCACTTATATGTAGTGATTGACTTTCTCACGTTCAGTGCCTGTTAATGCACTAAAACACACTTGTTTTTACTTCTGAATGCAGCAAATGTATATAATTGCATAAAATCTTTTTCTAGAATTGCCCATGACTACTTAAGAGGGGAACCATTTGAAGAATACCAAGAAAGCTCACATTTTTCTCAATTTTTACAGTGGAAATGGCTGGAGAGGTATGTTCTAATTTTAAACACAATAGAAGCCAGTTGAGGTGGGACATACCTGTAGTCCCAGCTACTCAGGAGGCTGAGGCTGAGGGATTGCTTAAGCCCCAAATTTCAAGGCTGTAGTACAGGACGATCATGCCTGTGAATACACACTGCACTGCAACCTGAGCCATGTAGCAAGACCCCATCTCTAAAAAGGAAAGAGACCTCGATAAAACAAGTGTTAACTTCTCATAATGCATAATGATTGACATAGACTTTTTCATCTGTCAAAACACAATTGGAAATTTTGAGTTGTAGATGGTATTTTCATATAGAAATTTTCAAAGGTATTATACAATTTCTTCTACTTTAATAGACTCTGTTCTGTCTTTTAAAAATGGCAGGTAGCCCTGTTGGTTCAGTGGCTAGAAAATAAAACTTAGCTTAGGTTTTGAGTGATTTAATAGGATGCAGTGGGTGGGACTTGGCAGCTGAGTGGGACCCTGCTCAGCCTCTTACTGTTTATGTGGCCTCAGGTAAGTGGCTTAGCCTGTATGAGTGGCAGGTCCTTGTTCCGTAAATTAGAGGTAATTGTGAAATCTGCCTCCTTGGGCCATTGCTGGGATCCCTGAGAAGTGTATGTGCAAGGCTTATAGGACAGTGTTTGGTGCACAGAATAAGTGTTTAAAAAGTGTTAGCTGCGGGCCAGGTGGCTCATGCCGGTAATCCCAGCACTTTGGGAGGCCAAGGCAGGCGGATCACCTGAGGTTGGGAGTTCGAGACCAGCCTGGCCAAAATGGTGAATGCTGTCTCTACTAGAGCTACAAAAATTAGCTGGGTGTGGTGGCAGGTGCCTGTAATCCCAGGTACTTGGGAGGCTGAGACAGGAGACGTGCTTGAACCTGGGAGGTGGAGATTGCAGTGAGCTGAGATTGTGCCATTGCACTCCAGCCTGGGTGACAGAGCAAGACTCTGGCTCAAAACAAAACAAAACAAAACAGGGTTAGCTGCTACTAGTATTATTACTAGTACTATTATTATTAATTGATTAAATTTCCAGTTCGTGCGTATACATGCTCCTTTTGAGATGTTGGGTATAAACAAACATCTTTGAGGTTCTTTTTTCAAAAGACGGCACAACGTATGTATGTCATCTTCCTCACCTGCTTTGGGAGAGGTTCAGAGGGTCTCCCTAAGACTACACCCTGAGTTCTAAACGTGCGTATTTCCCAGTGTCGGCTGGTTTCAGCCCTGTCTTTAGTTGGGAAGGATAACCGGACTGTTCTGCCTTTTGCTTCAGGGCCTTTGATGTTCAGGTTAATGAATTGCTCTTAGAGCAAGTCGAGAGCTGTCCTGCCAGAGGGAGCCCCAGTCCTGAGCACACACACCCTTTGTCCTGGGCAGCCCCTCGAGCAGAACAGTTCAATAAATGAGGCTAAGACAAGCGCTGAGTAGTCTTCTCTGTCTTAAAAGAACAATGCGATGTGAGACCTGAAACTTGTTTTTCTAATTGATCAGGCAACCCGTAACCAAGAACACATTTAGACATTACAGAGTTCTAGGAAAAGGCGGATTTGGAGAGGTGAGTAACGGGGTGGTTCAGAGTAGGCTTCCAGCTGGGAGGACAGCAGGGTCCCGGGTGACGCATCAACTCTCCCAACGCACTGTTTCCTGCGCGTCTTGGGAATAATCTCAGTTGGCTGAGATTCCCAAGACACGGGGTGTTTGGAGCAAAAGGTTTTCACGAATCCCTTCTTGTGTTGACTTGACCTTCTGCCTCAGAGTTCCGAAGGGGCTGCTTTCCCAGCTCCATGTTCAAGCCCAGTCACTTTGTCCAGACGGAAAGATGATTCTGTTCCTGGATCATGGAATTTCCATGATTCTTTTTCCTTAAATTTAAGACTGACCCGAAATTCACACAGCACAGAGTGAATTATTAAATATACTTATGTAACCCTTCTCTGTTTGGACATGTGTGTACCTCATACCTATGTCCGAAGGTGTTTGGAAGTGGGTCCATTTGGAAAAATCTAAGGAAAGGACTCAGACTCACGAGGGGTGTTGTTTAAATGTGATGGGTTTCCTAGATGGGCACCACTGTACAGGCGGGTGGAGAACACCAGCAGTTCTGGTCTGGCCATTTAAAGAGATGCTAATTACCTCATTAATTACCTGGAGTGATCGTAGAGAGTTCGAGAACTTACAGGTCCCTGAGAGCCAGGCAAGCCATCGGCAAACTAACACTGTACCTTTAACTCAGAGACAGGTTACACTGCCTGGATGTGATTCAGACATTACTGCTCCCATATTACACTTCAAAGCAAAAGCCAGTATCACTGCCTTGAAGCGAATTAGAAAGCTGACCTAGGAGCAGACGCTGCCACTGAGATCTGTCATGCAGCTTGACATGGTGAGGATTGGCCAGCGTAGTCCTTCCTTCAGGAGAAGTAACAGTGCCGTCCCGGTACGGTTCCAGAGACCGTGCAGAATATTTTGCCTAATCCAATCAGATGCTTGCTCTAATCCCACCGTGATAGATATTTCTGCTGGCCGGGCGCGTTGGCTCACGCCTGTAATCCCAGCACTTTGGGAGGCTGAGGCATGAGGACCGTGAGGTCAAGAGATCGAGACCATCTTGGCCAACATGGTGAAACCCTGTCTCTACTAAAAATACAAAAATTAGCTGGGCATGGTGGCATGTTCCTGTGGTCCCAGCTACTTGAGAGGCTGAGGCAGGAGAATGGCTTGAACCCAGGAGGTGGAGGTTGCAGTGAGCCAAGATCGCACCACTGCATTTCAGCCTGGCGACAGAGCGAGACTGCATCTCAAAAAAAAAAGAAAGAAAGAAATCCATCCTCTGTTTGGCTATGTCTTAGAACAGGAAAGTCATTTTCTCGCTTCAGCTCTTGCTAATCTGCCTTTACTGATCTCCAAGTGTAAAGACTCAGATTTTTGTGAAAGAGCAGAGGAAAATTCTGGAACATGGGTCATGTGTTTACAAAGGAATGAAAGCCCAATTATAGCCACATGTAAGTTTTTTAAAACGTGTCAGTCCTAATAGGACTGTTAGCAATAGGGACACGATAGCAACTTTTAACTATTGTGAATGAGTCGCTGCTGGGCGAGGTGGCTCACGCCTGTAATCCTCGCAATTTGGGAGGCCAAGGTGGCCAGATCGCTTGAGCCCAGAAGTTCCAGACCTGCCAAGGCAACATGGCAAGGCCTCATTTAAATATTTATTATAAATAAATACATTTAAAAAGGAGAAAAGAAAGACAGTATAATTATGATCGTATAGATTGCTTTCTAACATTTAGCTGGGTTCCCAAATGCTGCACGGATACACCGTGGCGGTTTTCCACAGACGTGTTCTGGAGGTGTTGTGCTCTGAGTCAAGGCCCAGAGGCAGTGAGCAGTCAGCCCGCTTCTACTCTGAATGCCTGTCGGAAGGAGCCCTGCCCGCCCTGCTGCGGGGATGGCTCGGTGCCCTTTCCTCCAGATTCTGGCAGTGCGTTTGCTAGCTTGAGAGAGCAAACGTAGTTGGTTTTATTTTGTCTTTTGCTTATGCTTGAAGTCCTCCGAAGTTAATTTCTAGGCTCCTGAGTGAGCACAGTGGTCAGGGAATTGAGTGGACATCTCTGCTGTCATGGTTTTTAGGCTGCAGACTGTCGTGGAAAGAGCACGGACTTCAGACGTGGGCAGACCCACGGTCAGGGTCCTGTCGAATCACTTCCAGCAGTGTGATCCTGGGCCTGCCACTGTGCTCTGGTCTCTAGCAGGGGAATAACCGGCCCTGCCCGCCGGGCTCTGTGAGCCAGTGAGTGTCCGCAGTGCTGTCAGCACGTGCCTGGCACTCTCCTCCGCTCTCCATTCCTTTCTTTGATTTGCCAGTTCCACTTGGAAGAATTTGTCTTAACGGTAAAGAGATATGAAGAGATTCTTATGCCAAGTCTTAATGGTAAGAAAACGATGAAATAAATTTTGGGCTAGTCACATTTTAGGAAAGCATTTCATGATGAGAAAATAGTCACACGCTAAGATTTGTAAGAGGAGTTTAGGAAACATGAGCTGTTTTACCATGGGAGCCCAGGTTTGCCGTAAAAGGCTGCGGTGGGCAACAGGGCGTGGATTCTTGCACACCCATGTGAGAAGGTGGACCTAGAATCAAATATAGCAAAATACTAGCAGTCATCATCCTGAAATCGCAGGTGAGTTTTTTATCACTGTCCTTATTACTTCCAGTATTTTCCACAGTTAGCTTTATATTTTTTTGCCATCAAAATTATTTTATTGGTAGATAAAATCACATCGTGTCTTATGTTTGCTTTAAAGCCATCCCCTGTGGGTGTGCAGTGGATGGGAGGTGGAAGAAACAGAGGCCTCATGTTGATGACCCAGAGGAGGGGGGGCCGGAACCCGAGGCTCTATCTTTTTCCACTTTTATATGTTGAAAGTTTTTCATGACGTGAAGTTGACATAATTCATAAATGCTACTTTAAGAAGTAAATAGAATAAAGATATGAAAATTGTGAATTCTATTAAATATATTTCCTTATACTCTTGACTTTTTAAATTAAAAAGCATCTTTTTAGGCCAGGCGTGGTGGCTCACACCTGTTAATCCCAGCACTTTGGGAGGCCGAGGTGGGCGGATCACCTGAGGTCAGGAGTTTAAGACCAGCCTGGCCAACATGGCGAAACCCCATGTTTATTAAAAATACAAGAAAAATTAGCTGGGCATGATGGCAGGCGCCTTTAATCCCAGCTACTCAGGGGGCTGAGGCAGGAGAATCCTGAGATGGAGTTTTGCTCTGTCGCCCAGGCTGGAGTGCAGTGGCGCAGTCTCACCTCACTGCCTCCCAGGTTCAAGTGATTCTCCTGGGATTATAAGCGTGAGCCAATGCGCCCGGCGGAAAATAGAGTTGATAGAGCACGGCCTGTCACTGAGAGGAGGAGCCTTTGAAACAGTCTCAGCCCCTCAAGCCCTGCTGCTGGTCCCTGCCAGCGAGGGGCTCATCAAGCAAAGAGTTTCCTTTGTGTGGCCTCAGAAATGTCACCTTCGTTTTGCTGTTTAAACTAGGTTTGTGCCTGTCAAGTGCGAGCCACAGGAAAAATGTATGCCTGTAAAAAGCTACAGAAAAAAAGAATAAAGAAGAGGAAAGGTGAAGCTCTGGCTCTAAATGAAAAAAGGATTCTGGAGAAAGTGCAAAGTCGATTCGTGGTAAGTGTCTCCTCGGTCTTCACGGTGCGTCGTCGGACTCACAGCCCTGCTGCCCAGAGCACTCTCACAGAAGCCGCAGAAGCCGTTCCTTGTGTCCTTCGTTTATGTGGGGTTCTGCTCTTTTTAGTAACAGCACTCTTCTTTCTTATTCAAATCTTAGAAAACATAATACTGGTGCTACTGCTCCTAACTTCCGGTTTGTTGTAAATCTGTTGTCTCCCGTCCCACTCTGTCAGTTACTCTTCACCCCTGCCAGCTTGCAGAGGCTCGTCCGGCTCCTTAGTTACCTTGTGTTTCTCGGTGAATTGCCCTTTCCTTTCCCTTATGAGCTTATCTCTGTCTGCTGTCAGCCTCCAGTCAAGTTTCTCTGGCCCACGGGGCACTGCGACTTGGCTGTACTTGAGGACACCTTCTCTTTGTCTCTCTCTTTTTTTTTTTTTTGAGACAGGGTTTCGCTCTGTTGTCCTCGACCTCCCAGGCCCAAATGATCTTCCTGCCTCAGCCTCCTGAGTAGCTGGGACCACTCACACACACCCCACTATGCCCCTGTTGTTTTTTTTGTTTAAATTTATATTCTTCTTTTCACAGATGGGATCTCTGGCAGGGCGCGATGGCGCACACCTGTAATCCCAGCACTTTGGGAGGCTGAGGCAGGTGGATCATTTGAGGTCAGGAGTTCGAGACATGCCTGACTAACATGGTGAAACCCTGTCTCTATTAAAAACATGCAAAACATTAGCCAGGCATGGTGGCGCACGCCTGTAGTCCCAGCTACTCGGGAGTCTGAGGCAGGAGAATCGCTTGAACCTGGGAGGCGGAGGTTGCAGTGAGCCGAGATTGCACCAGTGTACTCCAGCCTGGGCAACAGAGTGAGACTCAATCTCAAAAAAAAAAAAAAAAAAAAGAGGGATAGAGAGAGAGAGAGATGGGATCTCCTTATGTTGCCCAGGCTGGTCTTAAACTCCTGGGCTCAAGTGATCCACCTGCCTCAGCTTCCCAAAGTGTTAGGATTACAGGCGTGAGTCACCTCGCCCGGCTGAGGATACTTTCTCTAGCCCCTCTATTCACGTGGGCCTCCTCTCTCTGGCCCCAATCTGTTTTCCATCTTTTGTTTTTTCTGGGAAGTTTACCGCTAGGCCCTCAACTAGCATATCCCAATTGTATGAAGCCTCACATTCCACGTTCACTGGACAAGAAGAGCAAAACTCCGTCTCAAAGAAAAAATTAGAAAGAAAAAAGATCAGGACATTGGCACTTAAAGTACAAAAAAGGCCAGACACTGTGGCTCGTGCCTGTAATCCCAGCACTTTGGGAGGCTGAGGCCCGTGGATCACCTGGGCTCCAGTAATGAGAGCACAGCACAGAGGAGTCATGATCCCAAGTATCGTGGGGAAGTTTCACCACTTCTTCACTCAGCTCTAGAAAGTTCTCTTTGCTACCCAGCTGCGGTTAAATCTTCAGCATGCCAAAGTCCAAGAGGCACGTGATGTGTACATTTCTCTGAAACATAGTAGTCACATGTTCTGATTATAATCCTAACACGGCTTATTGGCATGTTGTTAGCAAATAGAGGAAATCACCAACGAATGAGCTTATTCGTGTTCTGTGTCCGTGATGTTGCTGTCTTTAGGTTAGTTTAGCTTACGCTTATGAAACCAAAGATGCCTTGTGCTTGGTGCTCACCATTATGAATGGAGGGGATCTGAAGTTTCACATTTACAACCTGGGCGACCCCGGCTTTGATGAGCAGAGAGCTGTTTTCTATGCTGCCGAGCTGTGTTGCGGCTTGGAAGATTTACAGAGGGAAAGAATTGTATACAGGTAAGAACGGTGCTGCCTAATGGAGCTGCAAGCCTTGGAGCCAGTTTCTCCCAGCGCTGGGCTTCCCTGGCTCACACCGGCTGCTTCCAGGCTAGGCAGGAGAGCAGCTCAGAGCCCCTGGGTGGTGATTCATAGGGGTGGTCACTTACGCTGTGGGAAATATGGTCAGTCAGAGGGCCCTGGGAGGTGGGGTGGTGGTGGTGGTGGTTGTCATTTTTGAGATGGAGTCTCACTCTGTCACCCAGGCTGGAGTGCAATGGTGTGATCTCAGTTCACTGCAACCTCCACCTTCTGGGTTTGAGCAATTCTCCTGCCTCAGACTCCTAGGTAGGTGGGACTATAGGCATCCACCACCATGGACAGCTAACTTTTTGTATTTCTAGTAGAGACAGGGTCTCACCATGTTGGCCAGGCTGGTCTCGAACTCCTGACCTCCGGTGATTCACACGCCTCAGCCTCTCAAAGTGCTGGGATTACAGGTGTGAGCTGCTGTGCCTGACCTAAATCTCTAATAAATTGTCTTTTTGAAGGAGAAGTTTGTTTTTACTTGTTAAGTTGATTAGTTAAAGGTAGTGCTACTCGTGTAAGCATGAGAAGAATGCATTTCCAAGGTTCTTAGGTATTTTGACCACTCTGATAAGGAGATATTTTGTCCTGCTGTATAAGATAACAACTTAATGTCTTGAAATAGTAGTTTCTTTTTGCATCTTAGAATTTAGTAAAGCAAATTAAATTAAACTTAATAGTTTAGTGTAATAATGGATTTAGTTTTAGGAGAAATAGTCCTCCTCCTAGCCCTTGACTGCTGGAGTCCTGGGCTCTGAGTCTCTTCTCAGTCACTCTCCCTGAGCCGTTCGCTTCTGTGGATTCATCTACCAGTCATAGGGGCCCCCATATCTATGAGTTCTGTGTGGTGCATTCAACCAGCTGTGGATCCAAACTGTTCCGAAAACCCTTCTCAAGAGGCTGAAAGGGGAAGAAAGAGAAAACATCCAGAAGAAAAGGGTGGTTGCGTCTGTATTGAACATGTAGGCTTTTCTCTTGTCACTATTTCCTGACAATGTGTATAATCACTATGTACGTGTCATTTACGTGGTGTCAGGTGGTATGTGTAATCTAGAGGTGCTTGAAAGTATTTGGGAGAATGCGTGTAGGTTATATGGAAATTCGACACTATTTTATATCGGGGACTCGAGGACCCTTGGATTCTGACATCCAGCGGAAGGGGACCTGGCGTGGGACCTGATGGTGTCTGCCTCGCCACCTTGTAAGCCCAGCTCTCATGGCCTTTGTGAGGCAGCTCCCTGCCGAGCCCTCCAGCCTCGGGCACCCCCGGCCTTGTCATGCGAGGGTTTCAAGTGCTCAGGTGTCCTCACCTCGCCACACCTTTGCACAAGGTGCCACTCTTCCTGTCGTTCTGAGAGACTCCTGCTCATCTACCCAGAGTTAGTCCATGCAGCATGAGGGTATGAGCCCAAGCACGGGCCCCTCCCCCACATCCCATAGTGCTCCCCATGTTGTCTGCTCAGCTGGTCACGCCAGGCAATGAGCTTCTTGGGAGTCTTTGATCTCGCTTCTCCCTGTTCTGATGGACCTTCAGCTTCTCCTTGTCTTATATACCCTATAGCCAATATGGGATACTTATTTCCCAAGGACCAGGGACCAGGCTTGGCAGCGGGGCTGATGCGGCCGCACCCTGAGCACTGAGAAGGGGTGGACTGCTGCCCTGGCTCTGAGTCCTCTGGAGACAGCTGCTCGCCTGAGTTGAGGAAGCCTTGTTGCCATTGCTTAGACGTAAGTCTGGTGGCACTGGAGCATGGAACACACCCGTCAGAGACTTGATTCCCGTTATTCCTGGAGTAACTGACACTTCACAGGTGACTGCGTCTCAAGATGAGCTGGATTTTCTCATGTAGCTTTGGCTCACCGGCCTGCACTCGGCGGGGCTGGACCACGTCTGCCCCATCCACCACTGTGTCCAGAGGACTCACCATCAGCAGCCATCACTAAGTACTTGTTGAATGAATGACTGATGGCCCAAGTGACATTCCCACTTCAGTCCCCTGAGTAGCTGGGACTACAGGTCCACACCACTGCACCCAGCTTGAGGCATTCTAATATGGACACTTTTCAGTTTTGAAACTCTTAAAAATACATTAATAAGAGAAATTGAGCCATGTTCATTACAGACTAGGGGCTTTCCCTGCTCTGGGCTGCGTATTTAATCACTGAAATGTCTTCAAATCTGTATAACTACGCAAAGCAGCTCATTTTACACTGTCGGCGTATGCAAGTTGTTTGCTGCGATGGATTTGTTAAATTCTTGTCCTGCATGTGACTACCCCAGCCTGTTGCCACGGCTCATGAAGGGTGGTTTTGTTCTCTGCTGTCCTGGCCCTCGCTCACCGCCCCTGCTCACGGCCGGTTGCTCCTACTGGGAACTCAGGAGTCACAGTGCCAACTTCTGAATAATTGAGCCTTTTGTTGTTGTTTCTTTCCTTGCAGAGACTTAAAGCCTGAGAATATTCTCCTTGACGATCGTGGTAAGTGAGCAAGCCTTTCGCATCTAACGGGTAGACTTTGTTAGAGGGACCTGGATACAGAGGGTTGGATGCAGAAAGTGGACTCAGCACTTAAGAGAGAATGGAAACAGCCACAAAAAGAAACATGCTGCGATATGTATTCCTTAAAAAATGAAATACTGTTAATATGATCGTTCCTCTGTGTTTAGGCAAGAAGCCGAGCGAGATGCTTATAATTTTCAATTAATGATTGCGTTTTAGAAGACTTTCTTTTTGAGGCAGGGTCTTGCTCTGTTGCCCAGGCTGGAGTGCAGTGATATATAATCACAGCTCACTGCAGCCTTGGACTCCTGGGCTCAAGTGATCCTCCCGCCTCAGCTTCCTGCATAGCGGGGACCATGGGTGTGCACCACCATGCTTGGCTAATTTTTATTTTTATTTTTGTGGAGATAGGACCTTGCTACGTTGCCCAGGCTGTTCTCAAAGTACTGTCCTAGAGCAGTCCTCCTGCCTGGCCTCCCAAAGCGCTAGGATGACAGGCAGGAGCCACCGTGCCCTGCCGAGAAGCATACTGAAGTAAACAGAAAGCCAGAACCTTTTCTCTCTCGTTTCTTGCTGTTGACCCACCGCTTGCTTTATTTCCTTTTAAATTCTATTCCTCTCTAAACATTGTCATGCTGCCCCCTGTGACATAGCCTGTGTCACAGAGCAGGGTGCACATGGCCACTTGGAGAGCCTGTGACAGTGGACAGGGAGGGGCCCCTTTGAGCAGGCTCCTTGTCAGCAGCACAGGTGCGCACTCCCCCTGGATTCCTCTGAGGGACAGTCATACCCAGAATGCAAGGATGGTTGCACTGCCGAGCTGGGTGCTTGTGCTCACACAGAGCTCACAAGCAGTGCTGGGAGAGAGCTCCTTGCAAGTGAGTTTTCTCGCAAAGAAGCGTCTTACAGACTAGTAGAGCACATATGCACGGTCAAAGCAGCTCCTGCCAAGAAGACAGGCGTCCAAGGCTGACTGAGGGCAGTCACGAGGACTTGGAATGCTAATCTCCTCTTATGCCCCTGCCAGATGCTTTCATTCTTACCTCATTCATGTATGACACCCCACCCGTGAGGAAGGAGGGCACTGGAATTCTCATTTTATGGAAGGCGATACCAAGATTTAGGAAGCAGACTTGTCCAGGGTTGTGTCCATAGCTCCTGGCTTAGCCTGTGGTTCATTCCTGATGCTGTGCCACTAACCAGAGGTGGTGTAAGTGGGGAGGCCACTAAGTGAAGCTGCTCACTTAATAAGTTGTTCAGTGGCTTAACAAGGGTAGGACGTGCTCTGCATGCAAAGCGGAGCGACCGCCAAGTGCCGTGGTGGATGGGAACAGCACTGTGCAGAGCTTCCTTGTGTGTGAACAAAGCGGGGGATCGTGTGTGCGTGCGTGTGTGCGTGTGCATGTGTGTGCGTGTGTGTGTGCGAGTCTGTGCGCGAGTCTGTGCGCGTGTGTGCGTGTGTGTGCGTGCGTGTGTGCGTGTGTGCGTGTGTGTGTGCGAGTCTGTGTGCGTGTGTGCGCGTGTGTGTGAGTCTGTGCGCGTGTGTGCGTGTGTGTGTGCGTGCGAGTCTGTGCGTGTGTGTGCGTGTGTGTGTGCGTGTCTGTGCGTGTGTGTGTGCGTGTGTGCGTGTGTGTGCGAGTCTGTGCGTGTGTGTGCGTGTGTGTGCGTGTGCGCGCGCTAGCTCAGAAACAAACATAAAGGGAGAAGCACGAGAAACTATTAGGGGTAAAAACAAGGCGGGGGAGCACGCTGATAACCTGTCACGCTGATAACCTTTTACTGGTTTTTTTTTTTTTTTTTTTTTGAGACGGAGTTTCGCTCTTGTTACCCAGGCTGGAGTGCAATGTCGTGATCTTGGCTCACCGCAACCTCTGCCTCCTGGGTTCAGGCAATTCTCCTGCCTCAGCCTCCTGAGAAGCTGGGATTACAGGCACGCGCCACCATGCCCAGCTAATTTTTTGTATTTTTAGTAGAGACGGGGTTTCATCATGTTGACCAGGATGGTCTCGATCTATTGACCTCGTGATCCACCCGCCTCGGCCTCCCAAAGTGCTGGGATTACAGGCTTGAGCCACCACACCTGGCCCTTACTGTGTTTTTAGTAGATTTTTCTGTGTAACTCCCTCTTCTTTGGAACTTTTCCCCACACATTTGAGCTGAGCTATCTTTCCCCAGTGCTAACCTCTGCCTGGCTAACTTAGCAAGACCCCTGCTCTGCCCAGGTTCCCCTCCTGCGCCACCATCTGAAGGCCACTCCTGGGTGGGACGCCAGGATGGGTGCTGGGCCAGTTTACTGTCTCTTCTCTTGGGAACCACAGTCCTCTGATGCTGATGACCATAGTTTCCTTTTTTTTTTTTTTTTTTAATTGTTTTTAGGGTCAGGGTCTCTCTGTGCTGCCCAGGCTGGGTGCGGTGGCTACTCACGGGTGCGACTGTGGCACAATTACAACCTCCAACTCCTGGGCCTAAGTGACCCTCCTGCCTCCGCCTCCTGAGTAGCTGGAGTTTCAGGTATGCACCACCACATCCCGCAGCGATTAAGCATATTTTAATTGTTATGGTGCAATCATCCCTCACTGCAGTTTTGACCTCCGGGACTCTAGTGATCCTCCTGCTTCAGCCTCCCGAGTAGCTGGGAGTACAGGCATGAGCCACCATATCTGGCTAATTAAAAAAAACCTTGTAGCCTGGGTGTGGTGGCTCATGCCTATAATTCCAGCACTTTGGGAGGCCGTGGCAGGTGGATCACTTGAGGTCGAGAGTTTGATACCAACCCGGCCAACATGGTGAAACCCCGTCTCTACTAAAAATATAAAAATTAGCCAGGCATGGTGATGCACCTGTCATCCCAGCTACTCAGGAGGCTGAGGCAGGAGAACTGCTTGAACCTGGGAGGCAGAGGTTGCAAAGAGCCGAGGTCACGCCACTGCACTGCAGCCTGGGTCCAGCCTGGGTGATACGGTGAGACTCCATCCCAAAAAACAAACAAACAAAAAACAGTAAAAGATTTATTTTTAGTTCTTTTGGTCATTAGCAAAATTTCTTTGGTTCTAAGGTAAGGTTCACTCAAATTAATTTAAAGTCACTCAGAGGCTGGGCACAGTGGCTCATGCCTGTAATCCCAGTATTTTGGGAGGGCAAGGTGGGTGGATCACCTGAGGTCAGGAGTTCGAGACCAGCCTGGACTCAGACCCATGCCACCCGGCTGCAGGATCTGTACCCGTCACCCCTTTGCTCTCCTGCTTCCCAGGGTGGGCATGCAGCAAGGGCAGGGTGTGGTCCCTCACATGCATGCAGCTGGGTCAGAGGCTGGCTTTCCTGTCTAAAGCATCACGTAGACCGTTTGAAAATGAGTTCAGTGCTTTGGAGGGCATGTTGCATATTTTTAGGTTTCAGCAAATATTTATTGGTGACTCATTTGTTTCACCAATAAGTATTTACTGAGCACGCCCTGTAGACCAGTGTACTATATTAGAAGCTGAGGGTACGTGGTGAGTGCGTTGAAGATGGTGCCCACTTCCAGGGTGGGCTTATGTTTCTAAACACTCCACAGAATGTTTTCTGTCATTTCGTATGTTCTTTAAAACTTTTCTTGAGGCAGCTTCTCACTCTTGCCCTGCAGTGGCATCATCGTGATTCATCCCAGCCTCCACCTTCTGGGCTCAGGCGATCCTCCTGCCTCAGCCTCCAGAGTAGCTGGGACCATAGGCATGTGCCATCAAAACATGACAAGACTCTGTCTCTACCAAAAAATATCTTTTTTTTTTGTTGTTGAAAAAGATGTTTCCCAGGCTGGTCTCAAAATCTGGTACTCAAGCAATCCTCCCACCTTGGCCTCCCAAAGTTTGAGAATTACAGCCGTGAGCCACCATGCCGGGACTAACTTGCTGTTTCCATAGGAATTCAACACATGTTTAAATCCTCCTACATCCAAGGCACAGACATGTAATATAGTCCCCGAGTACCTTAGTTTTCTTTATTATTCCCCGACTCTATTTTCATTCCTTCTCAAGAAAAAACTCCTATCATCCATGTGTGGCTGTCCGTACATGGAGCACTGGTACTCTGACAGCAAGTGTTTATTTACAGTTTTATAGTTGGCATCTTACCCATTACATTTCTGTTTATGTGCCTGGAAGTTATGACATAAAACAATAAATCCAGTGTTCCTGTCTCGTCTGGTGGTTGTCTGTGATGAGAGGGCTTTCCAGTCAATAGCCGGGCAGAAACCCAATTTTCCTGCTGATAGTGAAACCGAATGAGCTGCATGGAATTTGACTGATCGTGAAAACATTAAATGTAGATTTACATTTAGTGTTCCAGAGGATGAAATGCTGTTATTTCCGTTCGCGGTCTTTGAGGGCCCTTTTTCCATTTTAATGGTTGTTAAAGTGGCCTTACTTCCTCTGCGCCACTTTAGACATGTGTAATAACATATTTGAACACGCAGGACACATCCGGATTTCAGACCTCGGTTTGGCCCTGGAGATCCCGGAAGGGCAGGTGGTTCGAGGAAGAGTTGGAACGGTCGGCTACATGGGTTCGTCCTTGTCCTTTCTACCTGGGTACCTGAGTGCCTCAGAACGCAGAGAAATCCCACCTGAATGGACCAGGGCCTCGGATTGAACACTCTAGTAGGCGGCACAGTGGTGTTTTGACTCTAACCTGTCAGACTGTTGAGGCTGCTGGGGATCCTCCAGGCTGCCCTTGCCTTCTTCCAGATGAGGGGCAAGGCCCAGAGAGGCTGTGAGTCCTGAGGTCACTCAGCGAAGTGAGGGCAGAATTGGGATGACACTGCAGGTCTCCTCACTCTGCCAGTGTCCTCCCCTGTGCATAGTGGCCTCCCGGAGCCTCAGGAAGTCACCCTGCTCTTAGTCCAAAGTTCCGGGGCAGTGCCAGCCAACCCCAGGGTGGCCTCTGAGGGCCTCGGAGGGTCGTGCAGGAAGACCCCGAGGTCTTGTGGCTTTCTGCTGTCGTGGCTTCTCGGGTTTTTCACTGACCGAGGATAGATGGCAAAACACGACACTTGGGGCGCTCTGGGCTTGGCTCTGTGTGTCTGGAGGGAGCGCCTTCAGGAGGCGGAGGCTTCCCTAGAGCACCATTTCCCTGGTGAATGTTACTGTGTGGCAGTCAGCTCATCCTGGATGGGTTATACAAATGTTTACAAATGCCAGCTTTATTGGGACATAGTTCATATAAAGGCCACCAGTTTGGCTGGGCGTGGTGGCTCACGCTTGTAATCCAAGCATTTTGGAGGCCAAAGCAGGCGGATTACCTGAGGTCGGGAGTTCAAGACCAGCCTGACCAACATGGTGAAACCCTGTCTTTAAAAAAAAGAAAAAGAAAAAAAAGGCCACCAGTTTGAAGAGTATGATACAGTTGATTGTATTATATTCACAGAGTTGTGCAGCCATCTCCCCTGTCTGATTTCAGAGCATTTTCTATCACCCCAACAAAGAAACCCCGTGTCTGTGGACGGTCCCGCCCCATCTTTACCTCCCATCCCCAACTCTGACAGCTCCTGTTTACTTTCTTTGTGGGAGTGTCTATTCCGTTTCATATAAATAGAATCATACAATATTCACGGGGTTTTCTTTGAGATGGAGTTTCACTCTTGTTGCCCAGGCTGGAGTGCGATGGCGTGATTTCGGCTTACTGCAACCTCCGCCTCCTGGGTTCAATTAGTTCTCCTGCCTCGGCCTTCTCAGTTGCTGGAATTACAGGTGCCTGCCACCACACCTGGGTAATTTTGTATTTTTAGTAGAGACGAGGTTTCACCATGTTGATCTGGCTGGTTTTGAACTCCTAACCTCAGGTGATCCGTCCGCCTCAGCCTCCCAAAGTGCTGGGATTACAGGCGTGAGTCTCCACGCCTGGCAGTATTTGTGTTTTTTTGTTTTTTGGGTTTTGTTTTGTTTTGTTTTTGAGACGAGTCTCGCTCTGTCACCCAGGCTGCAGTGCAGAGGCGTGGTTGCGGCTCTTTGCAACCTCTGCCTCCCAGATTCAAGTGGTTCTTCACAGGCACGTGCCAGCACACCCAGCTAACTTTTGTATTTTTAGTAGATACAGGGTTTCGCCATGTTGGCCAGGCTGGTCTCGAACGCCTTGCCTCAGGTAATCCAACTGCCTTGGCCTCCAAAGTGCTGGATTACTGGCGTGAGCCACGCGCCCAGCCGAATGATACAATGTTGGGCTCTTTGTGTCTAGCTTGTTTGACCTACATAATGGTTTGTTTTTGGTTTTGTTATTGCTGTTTTTGAGATGGAGTCTCACTCCGTCACCCAGGCTGGAGTGCAGTGGCACGATCTTGGCTCATTGTAACCTCCACCTCCCAGGCTCAAGCGATTCTTCTGCCTCAGCCTCCTGAGTAGCTGGGATTGCAGGTGCCTGCCACCACACTGGCTAACTTTTGTATTTTTAGTAGAGACGGGATTTCACCATGTTGGCCAGGCTGGTCTCAAACTCCTGATCTCAGGTCATCTGCCCGCCTCAGCCTCATAAAGTGCTGGGATTACAGGCGTGAGCCACCACACCCGGTCTTAACGTAATGTTTTCAAGTTTCGTCCATGTTGTCACAAACATTGAACGTATCCTGCATTATTGGGAATTATAAGAAAATTTAAAATCCAAATTTAATTTACATTTCCTGTATTTCTTACGCAGCACCAGAAGTTGTCAGTAATGAAAATTATACATTTAGTCCTGATTGGTGGGGACTTGGCTGTCTGATCTATGAGATGATTCAGGGACATTCTCCATTCAGAAAATTCAAGGAGAAAGTCAGACGGGAGGAGGTCGATCAAAGAATCAAGAATGATACTGAGGAGTATTCCGAGAAGTTTTCGGAAGACGCCAGATCTATCTGCAGGATGGTAGGTCGGGCTCTGTAGAGCTGGGAAATTTCACTTCTCACCCCTCTAGTCGTTTTCACTGGCAGTTAATATCAAAAGGAGTTGGTCTGTCATCTTCAGCAAGCCCTGGCCACCCACCTCCCAGGCCCTGCCCCTGCCCCTGCAGCCCAACAGGGAGGACATGTGTGCTCAGGAGCACTCAGTCTACCTATCTCCTGGCCCAGCAGGGAGGACTCACGTGTTCAGGAGGCTCAGGTCCACCTCCCTCCTGGCCCAGCAGAGAGGATTCACGTGCTCAGGAGTACTCAGGTCGACCTGCCTCCTGGCCCAGCAGGGAGGACTCACATGCCCTGGAGCACTCACGTCTACCTGCCTCCTGGCCCAGCAGGGAGGACTCACGTGCTCAGGAGGCTCAGGTCCACCTCCCTCCTGGCCCAGCAGGGAGGACTCACGTGCTCAGGAGCACTCACGTCGACCTGCCTCCTGGCCCAGCAGGGAGGACTCACATGCCCTGGAGCACTCACATCTACCTGCCTCCTGGCCCAGCAGGGAGGACTCACGTGCTCAGGAGGCTCAGGTCTACCTCCCTCCTGGACCAGCAGGGAGGACTCACGTGCTCAGGAGCACTCACGTTGACCTGCCTCCTGGCCCAGCAGGGAGGACTCACATGCCCTGGAGCAGGGATGACTCACGTGCCCTGCCTGCCTCCTTCCCCATGCTCCTGCCACTGGGATTTCATCTCAGTTCAGACGAAAAGGGCTGGTGATAAAAGTCTTCAGATACGATCTGGAAATTACTTAATTGGGTTTCAATTAGAGCAAAACAGAGTAAAATTCATGGTTTAATTTCTCAAACGATGCTATTGAAAGGGAAGAGTGTTACCAAGGCTACTAATTCAGTTTTCAGAAAACAGCTGAGCCTTGTTTCATTGAAGTTAGACATAAAACTAATCTTTCATGTGTTTTGAGATGGTAAGGGTTTAGCCGCCTGCCAGGGATTCTAGTCCCAGAGACACTGACCTGAGGGCCTGCCGTGTGCCTGGCTCTGGGCCTGGTGCTGGGCGGACAGCACCTTCATTGTGCTAAGGGCCTCTGAGGCTGACACTGGCACCCACGAGTCACCGCAACGAGACGAGCCCCAGGCTGTGGAGACCTGGCCCATGGTCCCAGAATGAACAAGGAGCCACTGGGGCCCGTCTGCCTCTGGGACTGGACTGTGTTCCCATCCCTGGCTGCCCAGACACTCCGTGAGGGAAACGCTCTTTGTTACTTAGTTTAAACCAGTATTGTTTTTTTGAGCACATTTTTTTCATTTACGTTCATTCAACAAGATGTATTGAGCATCTTGTATGCTCCAGGCACTGTCCTAGGCACTGGGGGAAACAGCAGCACGTGAAGCAGAAGTCCCCACCCTCCCAGCAAGAATTGATAGGGAACAGAACACGTGCATACACGAGTGGGCTGTGGGGGACCCGCACTCTGGAGGGCAGCAGGCTCTGGGGAACAAAGGGGGCCGTCTGCAGGGCAGGGGGGACCTGCACTCTGGAGGGCGGCAGGCTCTGGGGAACAAAGGGGGCCATCTGCTGGGCAGGGGGGACCTACACTCTGGAGGGCGGAAGGCTCTGGGGAACAAAGGGGGCCGTCTGCTGGGCAGGGGGGACCCGCACTCTGGAGGGCGGCAGGCTCTGGGGAACAAAGGGGGCCGTCTGCTGGGCAGAGCAGACAGGTTGTCTGCAACAGCAAGGCCACAGTGGCGGGCGGCTGGCAAGAGCGGGAGGGGATTAGAGGGGACCAGACGGAGCAGGAAGCCCAGGCTGTGCGAACCACCTGTCACCTGTCATTGTTGAGCCTTGAGTGTTGCGTCCTCTGGTGGCCATGAAGCCATCGCAGGGCTCGGAGAAGAGTGATGTGAAGGGGCTGGGCTTGGGCTGCTGGGAAAGAATGAAGGGACAGGAAGGAGGGAGGCTGTTGGGGACTTTGCAGCCATTCCGGTGAGAGTACAGGTGACACAGACCTCGGTGGTGGCAGAGCAGGTGTGAGAAGCGATGGAAGATGACCACTGTCAGATTCAGGATGCATCCTGAAGGCAGGTAGTGGAAAAGACTATAGGCTGACTCCAACATGGGCTAGAGGGAAGGGGGCACTTTCTGGAGCCAAGTCCTTGCAGTGGCGGGGAGGACGGCAGCCGGTGCACAGGAGCGCGCTGGGACTTCCTCCGGCCAGCGCAGCACATCTGGGGAGGTGTGAGCAGGGCTGAGAAGGGTCTCTTATGGAGCTTCCTTTTCTCAGTCAGTCAGCCCAACAGGCAGCGAAGGTGGGAGGCGGCTGTGAGGGGAGCAGAGCTTTGAAGCCCTGGAAAGCAGGGGCTTCCTCAACAGCATCAAGGGCCCACGTGGACCTGAAGGGAGGGGAGTGACTGTGGTTGTGTGCTGGGCTCCTCCCACACCCAGATGGCACAGGCTCAGAGCCCGCAGGGAGCTGCACTTGCTCAGTTGTGGTGTGGCCCAGCAGCTGGAGAGAGGCGGGGAGCCAGGCTGCCTGCAGAGGAGCGGCTAGAGGACAGAATGTGCCATGGAAGCTGGTTCCAGTGGACGAGGAAAGGGGCACAGGGAGCGGCAGGTTCGACAGGGTGGGCAGAGCTTGGCCCACAGTTTGCAGTCCAGGCACCTCCAGACCAGAGTTAGAAAGACTAGAGGGACGCTTAGAGAGGAAGCTGCTTGGAGTGGAGCTGAAGGAGCGCTTGCTGGCCAAGAGTCTGGGGTGTGACCCGGGAGAGAGTGGCTGGGGGCCACTGCGGGGGTGGAAGGCGAGGTTGGAGAAGGGAAGCCACAGGACCAAGCAGCCAGGCATCGGCCCCTGCCTGGGCATGGGCATTCCTAGCAGCTGTGCCTGGGTGACTTGCGTGGGCCGGCAGTGGCTGGAGAGGAATGACTGTGATGTCCCTTCATGTGTTTCCATATATGAAGCCACAGGCGCTACAGGCTCGTGGCTCCCTCGGCTTAGAGCTGACTGTTGAATAATGGAGTGTCCCTACCCCCAGGGCACTGGCAGGGCTGCAAGAGTGCTACATAGGCACTGGAAACAGAGCCTGCCCCAGGAGCTCACAGTTCAACGTGAAGCAAACACAGCAATGTCTGCAGTGAAAGAGCAGAATGCATGCTTGTTCTGCTGGCTGGGGGAGGGAAGAAACAAAGCCAGATGAATGGCTGGAAACCAGGGCTCGGGGCTTCCAGGGCGAGATCATGGTGGTGGAGGCGCCGGGAAAGGAGGTGTCTGAGTGAGGGCTGCTGTGAGAAGCGCTAGCTTTGAAGCTGGGCCCAGGGGAGTCTCAGCTGCCACTACAGGCTCATCTCTCCCACCTCCGTTTCTCATTTATGAAATGTAGATGAGAGTAGCTTTTACCTTGTAGGACCGTTGGGAGGATACATGAAATAATACAAGTAAAATGTTTAGTAGCAAATGATTCTCAATAATTACTAAGAGGAGAAGCGAGTCATTCTTAAGAAACTACGGGCTGTTGGCCGGGCGCGGTGGCTCACGCCTGTAATCCCAACACTTTGGGAGGCCGAGGCAGGAGGAGCACTTGAGGCCAGAAGTTCAACACCAGCCTGCCCAATTTGGCGAAACCCTGTCCCTACTAAAAGTACAAAAAATTAGCTGGGCATGGTGGTGCGCGCCTGTAATCCCAGCTACTCGGGAGGCTGAGGCGGGAGAATTGCCTGAACCCAGGAGGCGGAGGCTGCGGTGAGCCGAGATCGCGCCATTGCACTCCAGCCTGGGTAACAAGAGTGAAACTCCGTCTCAAAAAAAAAAAAGAGAGAAACTACGGGTTGTAACAGCATCACACAGCGAACGCCAGCAGCTGGACTTGAGCCCCGCGTTTGGACCAGCTCTCTCCTCTGCTCTGCGCTGCCTGGTCAGGCCTTCTGCCTTAGTCCCTTCAGGCTGCGATGACAGAATCCCTCAGACTGAGTAATGTGTAGACAGCCGAAGTGTGCTTTCTCAGTCAGGAGGCTGGAAGTCCTACGTCGGATGCCTGCAGATTTGCTGTTGGTGAGGCCTGCTCTCTGCTTCAAAGATGGCGCATGGGCTGGACGTGGTGGTTCATACCTATTATCTGAACACCCTGGGAGGCTGGAGTGGGAGGAGCCAAGGAGCTCGAGACCAGCCTGGGTAACACCGCAAGACATTGTCTATATTTAAAAAATATAATAATAAAGATGGAGCCTTGTCACTGCACCCCCATGGGGCAGAGGACAAAGCAGCCCCCTGGGGCCTCATTTCTGATGGCACGAATCCCATTCATGAGGGCAGAGCCTTCATGACCTCATCCCCTCGGCAAGGTCCCACCTGTCAATACTATTGCGCTGGGGATGAAGTTTCAGCTTACAGATCTGTGGGAGACACGCACATTCAGACACTCCTGGCCCTCAGTGGGAGTGCAGTATGCCGGCAGCAGGCTCAGCCATGGGCCATGGAGTCTCTGAGATGCAGAGATGGTATCTGCATTGCATTTAATTTTCAGATCTGTTTTATTTATTTATCTTGTTTTTTCTTGGAGACAGAATCTCAAGAAACAGATCTGGCCCAGGCTGGAGGGCAGTGGCGCCATCTCAGCTTACTGTAGCATCTGCTCCTGGGTTCAAGCGATTCTCCTGCCTCAGCCTCCCAAGCAGCTTGGACTACAGGTGCCTGCCACCAGGCCCGGCTAAGTTTTGTATTTTTAGTAAAGACAGGATTTCACCATGTTGGCCAGGCTGGTCTCCATCTCCTGACCTCAGGTGATCCACCCGCCTCAACCTCCCAAAATGCTGGGATTACAGGCGTGAGACACCGCACCCGACCTTCAGATGTGTTTTAAATTAATAAAGCATGCAAAGAATAAATGCACTGAGCAACTCTCACTGAGCACCTGCTCTGGCTTGGTGCTGGGGTGCCACAGTGGGCAAGAGTCACACAGCCCCAGCTTCAGGAAGCTTTGAGTCTAGCAGGAGAGCCTGGCAAGAACGGCGCATCCGAATGCCTCATTCTCAGCAGTTGTGATACTTGTCATCAAGGAGAGGTAGAGGATGGCCTTAGGCTGTAGCAAAGAAAGTTGTGGAGCCTAATCTAGTGCAGGGATGGGGGCCAGGAAGCTGAAACCTGAAGAACCGAGCAGGAGTCAGCCAGGCAGAGAGTGTCATAGACACAGCCGTGGGGCAGGCACAGCCCAGCAAGGAGCTGAGAGCGAGGTGGGAGACAGGCGCAGACCGGAGTGCTTTCTGGTCTTTGGGACTTTGGTTTGGCCAAGGTCAGCAGACTTTTCTGTAAGGCCAGATGGCAAATGGTGTTTAGACTTTGCAGGTCTCTCTTACGGCTATTCAGCTCGGCCACTGTGGTGCCAAAGGGCGGTGCCGACAAAGCCTTGTTGATGGAACCAGGCAGCTGGTGCATGTGGCAGGTGGGCTGTGGGCCCCAGCCCTGCTCTAGGTCACATTCTGGGCTCCAGGTCTTCCATGTTTTGCTTTTGGGCACAGCTCGGCTTTTTCTGATTGGTCATAATTGTGGAGGAAGGCTTATTTCACTTTGTGAGGACTGTAAATATGTATGTAAGGAATTCTCTCTAAAGAGGTGCTTTCTGGTAATTTTAAGAATATACTGGAATAGCAAAATATTAAGAATATATTTTTAGAACTAGGTTTGCTAAGTGTTTGCCTCATCTGAGGTCCTTAGTGGTATTTCTGAAATTTGCGGTAGTTTCTGTTTTCTTTTTGAAAATCCCCAAATGCTTATGACTAATTTTTTTAACTGAAGGAATAACATAGACACCCCCTTATTTATTGGTAGCTCAAAGGCAAAACCTTAGCCCTACTCCTTTGCGAAACAAAACATAGTTTAATGAGTGAAGTGTGGTAGATGCGCCTGCTCTCTGCCCTCCCGAGCCCTTTGCTTATTACTATGGAGGGGAGTTTGGGGTTTCATTTTTATCCCGGAGGCTTAAGTGGATTCCATCTCTGCCTCTTGCAGTTACTCACCAAGAATCCCAGCAAGCGTCTGGGCTGCAGGGGCGAGGGAGCAGCTGGGGTGAAGCAGCACCCCGTGTTCAAGGACATCAACTTCAGGAGTCTGGAGGCAAACATGCTGGAGCCCCCTTTCCGTCCTGATGTAAGTGCATTACCAGGACGAGCAGGCCCCAGGGACGGTGATCCATACAGCACAGTTTTTCTTTCTTTCTTTCTTTCTTTTTTGAGACAGAGTCTTGCTCTGTCACTCAGGCTGGAGTACAGTGGCGTGATCTCGGCTCACTGCAACCTCTGCCTCCAGGTTCAAGCAGTTCTCGTGCCTCAGCCTGCTGAGTAGCTGGGACTACAGGGGCACGACGCCATGCCTGGCTAATTTTTTATATTTTAGTAGAGACAGGGTGTCACTGTGTTGCCCAGGCTGGTCTCGAACTCCTGGCCTCAAGCGGTCCTCTGCCTTGGCCTCCCACCGTGCTGAGATGACAGGCGTGAGCCACGCGCCCGGCTGCAGGGGCTTTTTGTTTGCTGTACGACAGATCCAAAATCAGCAGCTACATCAGCAAGTGGCTTGTGCTCATGGTGCCTGTCCTACCTGGCTCTTCCCTCCCCCATCACCCCAGTGTCCTCTGGCCACTCACTGGGCCCTGGCTCCCCGCCTGGTGTCACCGTTAGCCTCACTGCTGCTGGAGCCCCTGGGTGGCTGAGACCACAGGCCATCCAGCTAATTGTTAATTTTTTTCTAGAGATGGGAGTCTCCCTATGTTGCCCAGGCTGCTTTTGAACTCCTGATTCCAAGAGATTCTCCTGCCTTGACTTCCCAAAATGCTGGGATTCCAGGCATGAGCCACTGTGCCTGATCACTAGTGTCCCCTTTCTGGTCTCAGGGCTGGCTTTCCCTCTCATTCGTGTGTTTCCCACCGCTGTGAGGGCCTGCTGCCTTCATCTGGAACGTGTGTTCCCACCTGCTTCTCATAAGGTCCTGGGACTGTGGCCTGGCCCCATACTGAGGACCCTGAAGTGGTCACAGTGCTTCCTTGTGAGCGTGTTGTTGGGATGCCTTCCTGTGGACTATCCCCTAGGGCGGGGCCTGCTGGTTCACTTCCACTTCCCCACCTTGCAGGGGTAAATGAATGAAGAGCAGTGCTGACCGTGGCCTTCAGCACATCACTGCTTTACCGTAGCTCTCACTGTAGGAAAGTGTCCTCAGAACTGCGGGTGTCCCGGCGTGAGCAGATGAGGGTCCACAGCTGCCGAGTTCCTACTTTTTGTTCCTTTGCCTTGAAAGTGCAAGCAACTGTACTGAAAGCAGGCAGGGGCCCGGCCTTGGTGCACCTCCTGCCTGCCTGACCCCCTGCCCCTGAAGACAGCAGTGCCAGGATAGGAGCTGCAGGCTGGGTTCCTGTCCCAGAGGAAGGACCTGCCGAGCCAGGGAGCTGAGCAGAGGGCGGAGGCCCCTCGCAGCCTTGGAGGTCACCCAGTGAACCCGGAGGAGGACGGGAAGTGGGAAACGCCACTGTTCCTCAGGCTTTCTGCAGGTGCTTTGCCAGGAGCACACAGGGTGTGGGAGGCAGGGAGGAGATTTGTCACTAAGGGATCCCACCGCTGGTGGCCTCCGTCACTGTCCACACCTCCGGTTCTGCGCTGCATCTTCCAATACGTGTTCTCCATCCTGTCCTGCATCCCTGGGCTTTGTCTGCAATCCATTTTCCACTGCGGAAAAGAGACGGGCATGGCGCTCAGGACGAGGGTGTGTCTGTGTATGTGCCTAAGAGAGAAGGGGGCGGGTGGAGAGAGCGCCAGAGCAGGCGGGGGCCTGGCACAGACCGTACCACAGGATTGCTGACACTAAAAGCTTGGGAACCACCTCTTCAGAGGACACACTCCCCCACTTAGAAAATGCCTCAAGTGACGGGGGGCGCTGGCAAAGAAATGGAGAGAGGAGTGGCGGTGATGCGTGTCAGTTCGGTGGGCGTTTCATTCTTTGTAACTGAGCGGCTGAGGATTGCGGTAGAAAGTCAGAGGCTGACGCTCCCTCCGCTCCCTCCGCTCCCCCCACTCCCCTTGCTCCCCGCCTCCGCTTCCCTCCGCTTCCCCCGCTCCCCCCTCCCCCTTCCCTCCGCTCCCCCCCTGCTCCCCCCTCCCGCCCTTCCCTCGCTCCCCCTCGCTCCCCCCGCTCCCCCCCTCCCCCCCTCCCCCAACCCTTCTCCCCGCACCCCCCCTCCCTCTGCTCCTCCCCCCGCTCCCCCTCCCCCCTCCCCCCCTTCCCCCCTTTCCCCCGCTCCCTCCACTCCCCCCTCCCCCCTTCCCCCCGCTGCCCACGCTCCCTCCGCTCCTCCCCGCTCCCCCCTCCCCCCTCCCCCCTTCCCCCCCACTGCCCCCGCTCCCTCCGCTCCTCCCCCCGCTCCCCCCTTCCCTCCGCTTCCCCCGCTCCCCCCTCCCCCTTCCCTCTGCTCCCCCCTCCCGCCCTTCCCTCGCTCCCCCCCGCTCCCCCCGCTCCCCCTCCCCCCTCCCCAACCCTTCTCCCCGCTCCCCCTCCCCCCTCCCCCCAACCCTTCTCCCCGCTCCCCCCCGCTCCCTCCGCTCCTCCCCCCGCTCCCCCGCTCCCCCCTCCCCCCTTCCCCCCCCCTTCCCCCCGCTGCCCCCGCTCCCTCCGCTCCCTCCGCTCCCTCTGTTCTTGCTGCACAGCCGCATGCCGTTTACTGTAAGGACGTCGTGGATATCCAGCGGTTCTCCACGGTGAAGGGGGTCCACCTGGACACCACAGACGAGGAGTTCTACGCTCAGTTTGCCACAGGGCGTGTCTCCATCCCCTGGCAGAATGAGGTACTGCCCTTCTAGTACAGCAGTTCCCTCTGGTTCCAGCAATGACCAAGAAAGAGTGTGGTGTGTGTGTGTGTGTGTGTGTGTGTGTGTGTGTGTGAAATACAACTGTATAAGACAGCTGGGTGCAGTGGCTCACGCCTATAATCCCAGCATTTTGGGAGGCCAAGGTGGGCAGATCACAAGGTCAGGAGTTTGACCAGCCTGGCCAACAGAGTGAAACCCATCTCTACTAAAAATACACAAATTAGCTGGCCGTGGTGGCGCGTGCCTGTAGTCTCAGCTACTCAGGAGACTGAGGCAGGAGAATCTGTTGAACCAGGGAGGTGGAGGTTGCAGTGAGCTGAGACTGTGCCACTGCACTCCAGCCTGGGCAACAGAGTGAGACTTCGTCTCAAGAAAAAAAAAGTTGTGAGACTTTTGACCATGGGAATGGACCGTGGGCAAGCCAGGGACCGTATCAGCAGCTGTCCAGAAGCAGGGCAACTGCCCCTGGTCCCAGGGACAGGAAGTGCACAGGAGGCAGCTATTTGGCGTCTGACAGGGGCTTGTCTGCCACCCTCAGCCCCGCTCCCTAAGCAGGACTGGTTGCCAGCCAGGGTTCCCATGGTAGTGACCTGCTTTGGGGGTACACTCAGCGACAGGGGGAGAGGAGACCATGTTACTATTCCAAGAAGAGGTCAGGAAGCGGGGTAGGAGGAACCCAGGAGAGGGGCCCCGCATGGGGCTGGGCAGCAGCTGCTGGCACCAGGGACACCAGCTGACCCGTAAGCCTCTCTGCGGCTTCCCTGTCCTGTTCTGTGCTTGCAGATGATCGAATCTGGGTGTTTCAAAGACATCAACAAAAGTGAAAGTGAGGAAGCTTTGCCATTAGATCTAAAAGACGACATGCATAGCCCGGTTTCCAGACCGAAGAGAGGCTTCTTCTGTAGACTCTTCAGAAGAGGGGTAAAGACACTTAAAAAACTAATATATATACTTGTATGTGAAAAGAAAAAACTGTTTGCTACCAACGTAAAAACAGGGTACTTTTCTGTTTGCAACGGCTCCTACAAGCAGTTTTATGCAGTTTGGGAGCCACGCGGTGCTGGGTGGAGGGCAAGGAGAGCATCCTCGCCATGTGGGCTGTTGCTGGCTTGAAGACTGTTCTGATTTAAAACAGGGCTGCCTTCCGGCAGTCACAGACAGGTTCCCATGTTGGCGACAGGTTCCCATGTTGGCGACAGAGCGCTTTACGCTGGGCTCCGAAGTGAGCATCTTGTGGACCCCTCCTCAGGCCCCCACGCATGCGTGTCTCCTCACTCTGCCTCCCAGGCTCCTGCCTCCTTTGCCCACTGCATGGGGAAAGTGGATTCCCTTTGAAAATGGAATCCTGGCTGGGCACAGTGGCTCATGCCTGTAATCCCAGGACTTTGGGAGGCTGAGGCAGGCGGATCACCTGAGATCGGGAGTTTGAGACCAGCCTAATCAACGTGGTGAAACCCCGTCTCAACTAAAAATACAAAATTATCCAGCGTGGTGGTGCATGTCTGTGGTCCCGGCTACTTGGGAGGCAGGAGAATTGTTTGAACCTGGGAGGCGGAGGCTGCAGTGAGCCAAGATTGTGCCACTGCACTCCAGCCTGGGCAACAGAGCAAGACTCTGTCTCAAAAAAGGAGAAAGAAATGGAATCCTTTGGAGAGACTTTCTGAAATAGCTTAAATGTAGACAAGCCTTTTTTCCATGCGAAGTGTGTCCTCAGATTCGTGGGCCGTCCCAGTTTGCACCCTGTGTGTTCTCAGAGGGTTTGTTCTGAGCTCGGCCACTCCCATTTTAATCCTGCTTTCTTTCAGGGTTACATAGGCCAGGGGTGGTGGCTCACGCCTGTAACCCCAGCACTTTGGGAGGCCAAGGCGGGTGGATTCATGAGGTCAGGAGATTAAGACCATCCCGGCCAACAAGGTGAAACACCGTCTCTACTAAATATAATAAATTAGCCGGGCATGGGGGTGTGTGCCTGTGATCCCAGCTACGTGGGAGGCTGAGGCAGGGGAATCACTTGAACCTGGGAAGCAGAGATTGCACCACCGCACACCAGAGTGTGTTGATAGAGTGAGACTCCATCTCAAAAAAAAAAAAAGAAAAGTAAGTCTTAGATGGCAAATATCTCCAAGCGGCCTTTCCCGTGGCTCCCTTTCCTCTGAGAACTGAGGGTTAGGTGTGGACTCCCTGACCCTGGGTGTGAAGCCAGCCCTGCAAGGAAATGCTCCTCCCTGGGCACCTGCCCCAGTGTCCATACTTGGAGATGGAACCCAGGTTCTCACGTTCTGGGGAAAAGCTGCTGTTGAGAGAATCTCACGGCACAGAGCGAAGCCGATTCTCCCCGTGCTGCTGCTTAGTGGGGCAGCCAGAGAGCCTGTGACATCCACGCCTCAGCCCTGGCAAATGCAGCACTTCCCTGGGGCATTTTCCACACACGTGTGCTAAGCATCTGCCACATCATGAAGTAAATAAGGAGAAAATTGTTCAGGTTTTTGCCTGCCTTGAAATTAGCACCCCCACCTGGCTGGGTGTGGTGGCTCACGCCTGTAATCCTAGCACTTTGGGAGGCCGAGGTGGGTGGATCACCTGAGGTCAGGAGTTCAAGACCAGCCTGGCCTTCATGATGAAACCCCATCTTTAAAAAAAACAAATAAACTAGCACCCCCAGCAAAAGTTGCACATAAGGCAAGGGAAGCCATCGCGTCCACCATGTGCCTGAGGCCGCCGCCGTGTGTTGTAGGGCTGCCTGACCGTGGTCTCTAGTGAGAATGAAGTGGCACCCAAGCAATGCTGACCATCCCTGTGCAGAGCAGACCACAGAGCAGACCCTGGCACCAGGAAGGAGCACGTGTTAGCGTCTCATCCCAACTGGAATTGTAATAAACACATCTAAATAAAACGTGTCTTGGGAGTGTACAGACTTTTCTACACTAATACCTGAGTTGTCTTTGCACTAAAGCTGGATTGAAGAAAAAGCCCCAGGAGTACCCCTGAGGCCCCAGACACGCCCAGGTGTGGGCCCCTTGCGCTGGGGTGTCAGCTTTCCCTGTGCCCAGGGAGAGGCCGGGGGGTTGGGAATGGATGTGGAGTCCCCTGCCCTCCGGTACCTTGTGCACTTGGTCTCAACACTCGGCCAGTGATGCAGGAAGAGAGGGGGCGGCTGGGCCTCCCTTTCCCCAGAGCCTGGGTGCCAGACAGTCCGAGCCCACTGGCATTTTGGCATGTCCTGATGGCTGTCCCGTTGCCTTGTGTCCCTCACCGAGATCCCTACGTGCCTGAGGTTTGTGTGTTTGTGACCAGTTTCTCTTTTCTCCAGGCATACCTACCTGCCCTTGAAAGGGGCGGCTCCCATGAGCTGCAGTCAAGGCTGGTGACCAGGGCTCCAGCATGTGCCTGGGATGTGGTCAGCGTGGGAGTCCAGATCAGACCCCGAGAGAAGCTGGTGCCCTCTCAGGGAGGAGGGGCTGGCGAGAGGCCGGGGCTGTGTCAGAGAGGGGGATCCCACCCTCCTGGGCTTTAGTGGTGCTTAGGAGTTTGGGATCCTCCCGTGGAGATTAATGGTGCCGAAAATGCACAAAGCTGAGGACTCCCAGCAGTGCGTGGTGACTCTCCCCTCCCGCTGGAGTGCTGACCTGGGGAAATGTGGCTTTCTGTGCTTGGCAAACCCCCATGCCAGAGCATAGCGGCAGTGTGTGGACCAGCACTGAGGCCCAGCAGGGGTACCCGTGCGTGTTCGTGGGGAGGGTATAAAGATTTTCCACGGGGTGATATTGGAGCTGGGCGGGGGGTGAGCAGGAGGGACAGGGAAGGCTGAGGCCCCAGAGGTGGCTCTGCTGAGGGCCCTCGCTGAGCTGGTGATGGTGACGGCCTCGAAGCTGAGCCCAGATCCTTGGTGTAGGTGTGGAATTTGGGCCTTCTCCTCTGAACTGTGAGTAGGGGGATGGGCCGGCCCTGCTCCATCTGGGGCTTCTGCAGAGCAGGGCAGCATTTGACAAGGTGAGGGCTGGACGGAGACCCCAGCCGGGGCCTTCACCTTCGCCCCTCCTTTCTCCACCTCTGTCATGGCTGCCTGGAGCCTGCAGGCGGGATCCTCGTGCTGCCTACTGTGTGAAACGCCAGGGGATAGGACTCAGTGACTTTCAACCAGTGACACATAGGACAGCTCTGTGGAGGGGAGGGAACTGCAGTGCCTGAGGGACAGAGAGTCCTGGGCTGTTTTCACAGGAGCAGCAGGGGCGGCCACATTTCCAGGCACACATTCCACTAGCATCAGCGTGTCAGGAAAATCAGCTTCCACACATGCCCCCTGCCAGCTCCAGCAGGGGCACTGAGGACCGCACAAAAGACACCAGCAGGGATGTCACCATGAGCTTGGGAACCTTCTTTGTACCGGGGAAAGGGGATGGGGATGTTATCTTGGGAACCTGGGGCCTTTATTCTTTGGGGGAATGGAAATAGCTTTGCCTTTCTTCTGATTGAGGCAAAACTCATTAAAGAGTAAGGCTTTTTGGAAGCTGGCCAGGGGTGACTCCGGGCCCCTCTCCTCCGTGCCCTTCTCCTCCGTGCCCCTCTCCTCCGTGCCCCTGTCCTCCGTGCCCCTCTCCTCCGTGCCCCTCTCCTCCGTGCCCCTCTCCTCCGGGCCCCTCTCCTCCGGGCCCCTCTTCTCCGTGCCCCTCTCCTCCGGGCCTCGATGTCCTCGGCTGCAGAATGAAGATGGCAGGCATTCATGCCCCACAGGGATGCTGGGAGCAGGTTTCAGAGTCTGTAAGGCAAGTAGCAGAGTGTTGAGCACATGGTCGCCATTCGGGAAGGACGTTAATAATCGCGGAAAAATAACACACGCTCACTATAGAAAATACAGGAAAACATGAAGAAAAGAAAAACCACCATTATTCCACCCCCGCCTCGATTTCCACTCTGAGTCTTTCCAGGAGTTCTTCCAGCAGTGTAGACAAAGCCCACGGCAGAATCCCAGTGTAGACGACTCTGCTGGGGGCTGGGGACCTGACTTCCTTGCCAGCCACAAGGCCACTGTAAGGCCTGCCCCACAGGGGCGTCGAGGGTTAGGGACACCTGCCTGTCAGAGGCTTGAACCACAGCAACTCCATCTTGAGCAGGAGCTGGGTAACATGAGGCTGAGACCTGCTGGGCTGCGTTCCCAGGAGGTTAGACATGCTTAGTCACAGCAGGATGAAACAGCAGGTCTGCACAAGACACAGGACCCAAAGACCTTGCTGATAAAACAGGCTGCTTTAAAGAAGCCGGGGCCATGTGCAGTGGCTCACGCCTATAATCCCAGCGCTTTGGGAGGCCAAGGCAGGTGGGTCACCTGATGCCAGGAGTTCGAGACCAGCCTGGCCAAAATAGTGAAGCCCATCTCAACTAAAAATGCAAAAATTAGCCTGGTGTGGTGAAGCATGCCTGTGGTCCCAGCTCCTCAGGAGGCTGAGGTAGGAAAATCGCTTGAGCCCAGGAGATGAGGCTTCAGTGAGCTGAGACCTGGGCAACAGAGCAAGACACCGTCTCAAAAACAAAGGAAATAAGCCTGGAAACCAAGATGGTGATGGGAGTGACCCCTGGTTGTCCTCACAGCTCATTATATGCTAATTATAATGCGTTAACATAGGCCAGGCACAGTGGCTCACGCCTGTAATCCCAGCACTTTGGGAGGCTGAGGCGGGTGGATCACGAGGTCAAGAGATGGAGACCGTCCTGGTCAACATGGTGAAACCCCGTCTCTACTAAAAATACAAAAACTTAGCTGGGCACGGTGGCGCGTGCCTGTAATCCCAGCTACTCAGGAGGCTGAGGCAGGAGAATCGCCTGAACCCAGGAGGCGGAGGTTGCGGTGAGCCGAGATCACGCCATTGCACTCCAGCCTGGGTAACAAGAGCGAAACTCAAAAAAAAAAAATGCGTTAACATGCTAAGAGACACTCCCACCAGCGCCAGGACAGGTTCCAGATGCCATGGCAACGAAAGTTACCCTATATGTTCTAAAAAGGGGAGGAACCCTCAGTTCTGGGAATTGCCCACCCCTTTCCCTAAAGCTCATGAATAATCCAGCCCTGTTTAGCATTTAATCAAGAGATAAGCATCAAAACGGCAGCCAGCAGCCCTTGGGACGGCTCTGCCTATGGAGTGGCCGTTCTTCCTTCCTTCACTTCCCTAATAAACCTGCCTTCCCTGTATGGATTTGCCTCGAATTCTTTCTTGAGCGAGATCCAAGTACCCTCTTTTGGGGTCTGGATTGGGACTCCTTTCCCATAGCACCACCTCCATCTTGCCTGCATGCACCACCTGACTGAGGAGGAAACCGGACCGGACAGGTGAGCCTGGCCAGGGCCGCCGGGGCTAGGGCCCAAGGGTGTCGTTCATAGCCTGGGCTCGGAGCTATAGAACTAATCAAGTCCTTTTTTGTTTCTTTTTTTTTGAGACGGAGTTTCGCTCTTGTTACCCAGGCTGGAGTGCAATTGCGCGATCTCGGCTCACCGCAACCTCCGCCCCCTGGGTTCAGGCAATTCTCCTGCCTCAGCCTCCTGAGTAGCTGGGATTACAGGCACGCTCCACCATGCCCAGCCAAATTTTGTATTTTTAGTAGAGACGTGGTTTCACCATGTTGACCAGGATGGTCTCGATCTCTTGACCTCGTGATCCACCTGCGTCGGCCTCCCAAAGTGCTGGGATTACAGGCGTGAGCCACCGCGCCTGGCCCCCTACTTCATTCTTCATTGTTTACTTCAGTCATCATGATACTGTGAAATTATATTTGATTTTCCTTCAGTCTCCTGACATGTTTCCCCAAATCCTCGGAATCTTCAAAGTGATGAGTGTCTTTTTTGTATGTTAACGAGGCGGCTGGGGGCTCTGAGAAAGCTTCAGGATAGGAAGGAGGCTGGTCACCAGAAAGCAGAAGGCAGGGTTAGAAGGTTGGTATTCAGCCCTACCCTTGACCTCTGGGAAGGGAGCGGGGCTGATGGTGAAGCTGGTCCCCAATGGCTAATGACTAAACCATGCCTATATGACGAAGCCTCCATAAAAACCCAGGGGACAGGGTTCAGAGAGCTTCTGGTGACACGGAGATTCCTAGAGGGTAGCGTACCTTCACTCTGTGGGGACAGAAGCTCTGGTGCTTGGGACCCTTTCAGAATGCTCCCCGTGCATCTCCTCATCTGGCTGTTCATCTGTATCCTAAAACATGCCTTGTAATAAACCAGTAAATGTGTTTCTCTGAGTTCTGTAAGCTGATCTAGCAAATTAATTCAACCCAAGGAGGGGCTGTGGGAGCCCCAGTTTAGCAGGTCAGTCAGAATCACAGGCAAAATAACCAGGGGCTTGCAGTCGGCATTGGAAGCGCGGCTCAGGCTTAGGGGCTGCGTCCTCTGCCTGTGGTCAGATGCTGTCTCCAGGTGCCGCTGTCAGACTCCAACGAGAGGACACCCAGCTGGAGTCTGCTGCAGAGCTGCCTGCTTGCTTGTTGGTGGGGAGAAGTATTCTGTGTTGATTCTTGGGAGAAGAGGAAAAGGACACTGTGCTGTTCCCTATATCCTCAGGGTGGCCAAATGTCCCTATGCAATGAGCCGTGGGAGGAGTTCTGAATATCTGAAAGGAGCACCAGGCGGTGGGCAGTCGAGCTTCATGCGTCTTCATGGGTCGCATGTTCAAAAAAATATTGGGGTTAGCGTGGTCTGAGAGTGGAGTTTTTCTCCCACTGCACCTCCTCTGTGGAGTGGCCAGAGCCACTCCAGGGTCTGCGGTCTCCTACCAGGAAGGGAAGCATTGTCCGGCCGTGGCCTCAGTCGATTGGCTGAAGGCGATGGAAGAATGGGTTGTCCGTTTCTTGTTTTCCAGAGCTGGCTTCTGTGTGTTCTTCAGGAAAGCATTCCAGTGAAAGGTTACCGAGG